AAAAAAAAAAAAAAAAAAAAAAACCAGGACAGAAATAAGACCTTAGGAAATGAGAAAGAAAGGCTGAAAGGGAGTTAGAAATACTGCGCCCTTTGAAAAGTGCCGCAGGCGGAGACCAGGCTGGGCCCCCAAAGGCCCAACAGCAGAGTTGGTAAAGGGGCCGGAGCCAAAGAGGGTCTGCAAGCGCTCGGGGCACAACTTTCCTCCGTTTCTCACATCCCTCCCTCCCTCCCTCCCTCCCTCCCTCCCACTAGGGTTATTAGCAGCTGGTTTCTTGTCTACTGGTGGAAAGCGAGCATATCAGGACAGCTCTGGGACAGTAAGTTTTCCTCCCCTTTAACATGAAGCCATAAACGGGGGCAAATCTTGGACAATGCTGTCGGAGGGAGGTGACCAGGATTTTTCTCTCAGGTCACAGGGGCACTCATGTCCTTGAAAGAAGGACCGGGACGGGGGTCCGTCCAGCAGGTAAAATGCACATGCGCTCGTGAGGATTTTGCAAGACTCTTGTGCCATTCCAGTCTTACAGGTGTCTGTCTGTCAGGGGAGGGAGGACTCCCAGCCAGGGGCCATAGGGGCAGACCGAATGGAGCGCGCAAGGTCCGAGGGAGCATGACAGATACCTTTTTACACTGAACACACTGCAAGGCATACTGTTTCTCGTAGCAGGGCACACAGAAGTTCTGGTTGTCCTTAGGGATGAAGCTCTTGGTGCCAATTGGCTGCTGGCAGCGGTGGCAGATGAAGCAGGTCTCGTGCCAGCTGCTGTCCTTGTACTCCATCTTGCGGGTACCTGTCATGAGAGTCCAGAAGAAGCAGCAAAGAGCAGAGTTGACAACACGACCGGCTCGGGGCCCCTACGATCTGCATTGAGAACCTGCCATCATCTGGCTTTGGGGCTGTAGGAAGTCACTTCAGCTCTCAGAGGCTCGCCTCTTAAGTGGGAATGTTTTGGAGAGGGCGGGGACTTTGTCTTTTGGTTCACTGCCATACACCCCACTTCTAGAACAGTCTCTGTGCATACTTGGAATTTATTTGTCCAGCAGGGTGGTTATGAACATTAACTGAAACAAGTATTTGTCTCTGTCTCTCAGCACTGCATAATAGAAAGAGAAATCTGGCATAGCTCAGACCAATCCCGGATGGAGTGAGATTCCCAGAGCCTGGGGGCCCGTGAACGAACACCCTTCGGCTCTCCAACGGGATGGAAATTGGTGGGGTGTAAATGAACCTAGAGTCTCAAGCCTGATTCAGCGAGGAGCCTCCATGTCGCTCACTTTATGTGACCTGCTGTGTAAATAAACCAAGCTGTGATGTGTCGTAGCAGTTTTATGCACTGCACTGAGCGCTATCATTAAAAGCCAAACGTAACACGCATATGTTCCATTTCACGATTTTCTGATCTTATCTTGTGACATCCCATTTCCTTTCGAATGGCTGTTATCATTTGATAGGTTTACGTGATTTCTTCGAGTAGATTAAGAAGTCTAGAGAACGGAAATGCTGTTTGGTTCACCCCCCCCCCCCCCCCCCCCCCCCCCCCCCCCGCCGCCACACCACCAAGCTGGATTCATAGCCAATGTTCAGTATTTGTTGACTGATGTTTCCCCGTACTTTTCCCAGAAAATAAAAGGGCGTGTGTTTACAGAAAGAGATGATTCAAGACAGATTGTATGCAAGAGCCCTTTGCATGCAGCAGACAAGAAAAGGGCTCCAAATATCGGAGCTAGCGCCCGGGGCCAGTGCGCTACGTAGGGCCTGCGCGCACAGTCTCAGCCACCCCCATTTAACAATTGAAGGTTTACTGGAGCACAGCCACACCCATTCATTTATTTCAATTGTCTACGGATGCTTCATCCTACAATGGCAGAAAGGAGCTGTGACAAAGTGTGGGCTTCAAGGCCCCAAGTATTTGATTCATTCTGGTAACCTGTTGGCCAACCCATGGGCTCACTGAAAGTTTGCAGTTGTAGAAGGAATGGCGCCTAAGTTGCACTTCAACGTGGGATCAGAGCATGGCGGGGGCGGGGGGTGGTTAGGCTGGGAGCAGGGCTGCCAGCTTTGAACCAGGATGGCCGCATGCTGGCATCAGGCAGGCAGCGTAACTTGGGCATCTAGAAACTCGCCTTTAGCCTAAGTCCAAAGATAATATGGGCGAGATGACAGGCTAAGTGTTTGTGTTTTGGTTGCTTCCAAGGTTGACAAAGAGATGTCCGTATCTCCAGGAATTAGGATATATGCAGAAAACCGTTGCAAGATTATTTTATTAGATGTCATTTTTGGGTCACTGTCTCAGCTTCCTGTACTTCCCAGACAGGACATTTGGGCACTAACTCCCACAGAATATATAAAATATTCAGGGTAAGTATAGGCGCTGGAAGGTGGGGATGTGTGTGAGGGAATTCATGGAGGGGTACATAATGATCTTCAAAGCTATGGAATCCAATCACAGGGTGATGAACCCTGAAACAAGGAAAATTACATTCAGTGACTGAATTTCAGGTAAAAATAGAAGAATTATGATATAAATCTGGAATGATTTTCCTTGTCTCCAGGGGCTTATTTTTCCACGTATATTTTTGCCACTTGGTCTTTTTTTAAATGTTTTTTAAAAATGTTTTTAAGTTTTGAGAGCGAGAAAGAGAGAGAGAGCGTGTGTGTAAGCTGGAGAGGAGCAGAATGCTGTCAGCACAGAGCCCAATAGGGGGCTCAAGCCCACGAACTGAGAGACCATGACCTGAGCCAAAGCTGGACGCTCAGCCGACTGACCCACTCAGGTGCCCTTGCCACTTGCTCCTTTAATCTCTGACCTTCCCTCTGGTTAAACAGCTAAAATACCAAAGGATTTTTATCAATGAATACATGGCAGTCAGATGATCACTAAAGACCACAAGCAAGACCGTGTAAGTGCATTCTCGGCGTGTTCCAGAATAACCGTCTTATATCAACACCGGCCTCAGGGAATTGTCTTGTCTCTAGGCGGGAAGCTGGTGGGCACTCGCGGCCCAATCGGGACGGTGGGTGCGCATCCGAGAGGTACCAATTATTTACTGCAGTCACACCTGCATAGCTTGTTGTACAGCACGGCCAGCAGATGGCAGCAAACTTCCTTCTTTCTAACAATGCCCAGCTTCTCTGGCAGATGCCAAGTACACGGTCTTGGTCTTGACCAAGGGGTGTTTGTTTGTTGTTGTTGTTTTCCTGATTCAAATAAACAAGTGAGGAACCAGAAACGTGGTGAAGGGTTGGCAACAGTTGAGAGGCTGCTCAGAGGATTCTGCAGAATCCTCTGCGAACAGAGGCTCGCTGTGGTTTGTGACGGACTCTAGTTTCCTGACTACTTTGGGAGGTTGGCTTTTGTCAGGGTTGTGGCCAGTGGGCGGGTTTGTCAGTTAGTACCCGCCTCTTGTTCTGTGTATCTAAGGTCGTTGCAAAAGCTACGCTGATGATCTGTACTCCTAGTCATCTTGATTTGGTAGCCCTTTAAAAAATGGAATCAAAGCAAGGAAGGTCGTGCTATGATGTAGCGCTTTTCTTCTGTTTCTTTTCCCTTTCCTTTTCTTTTTTCTTTCTTTTCTCTTTCCTTTCCTTTTCCTTTCTTTTCTTTATCTCCTTTTCCTTCTCCCTCCCCTCCCCTCTTACTTACCACTCCCCCCCTCCCCCACCACCTTTCAACCAAGCTTTTTCCAGACACTCTGACGTTGGTGCTGAGTCCACTTCCTCTGCCAGAAGTGCCCTTTTTTGACTTCTCCAGGGGTGAAACTCAGCTCATCCTTCAAGAGTACTCACATGCGACATCCCCGGGGCCCCTTCCTGCCTCCTCTGCTCTGGGTCCACCATAGCGGGTAGGAGCCAGGCTTCTCTAGTGAAGTCTCGGTGAGGGGCAATGATCAGTGGAAAGTCAAAGCCAGCAAACAGCCAACCAAACCTGTCGGTTTCTAGGTTTTCCCTGAGAACCGATGGTTCAGGGAAGGAGCGCCGAAGTGAGGGGGAAGCCGGGACAGACATACGGTGGTGGCATAAAACAGTATCTGCAGGGCTGGTTTTGAATTTAAAGTGCAGGCGGGGGCGGGGAGACCAAGGCTCCCCCAGCTCCAAGTGGCTAAGGCCACACAGCTACTGTGCAGCAAAGCAAAGATCCTCAGGCCTGCTAGAGCTTGGACTAAACCTAGTTGATTTGGACATGATCCCAACACGTCTGTTTTGCTCTCCTCCTGGGGAGGCTGTTAGCACCTCCGTTCTGTGAAGGTTCATCCTGTGTGTCCCCTGTGACCCTACCTTCTGAATTAACCACGATTGCCAAAGCAGAAGGAAGTCAGTGATCGTCCATACCCGTGACCTCAGGTCAGCTCTGCTGTACGTGGGCTTTGGTTTTAATTCCATGGCCCCCACGTTGGGCCCTTGCCCCACAGCTGCAGCATGGACGCATCTCTGTAAGAGGCCTTGCTCTGGGGGTTTTGTTCCTTGTAAGAGCATGGAGTCAGTTATCTTGGAGATGTATTAGCCAGAGAAATGTAGTAGCCAGGAGAAACCATCTCGTGCCCTCGCCTTTTATTTCTTATCCAGTATATCTTCCTAAAATTATACTTCCTGCCCATCAGTCTCCGGCTCAAAACTCTTCAGTATCTCTTCACTGCCACAAACAAAGCAAACCAAAAATAAAAAGAAAACTCTGGGGCATGGCAAGCAGTTTTCTGCTAAAGAGTCAAGAGTCTGGCTCTAAATGACCTCGGGAACCCTAATTCCCATTACATGTCAGCAGGAATCCAGCTGCTGTGTGAAATACTGTGACTCAGCAGGCTACCCTGGGCTTTAAAACTCACAGGCACCTGGGTGGCTCAGTCGGTTAAGTGTCTGACTTCAGCTCAGGTCATGATCTCATGGTTTGTGGGTTCAAGCCCCACGTTGGGCTCTGTGCTGACAGCTCAGAGCCTGGAGCCTGTTTCAGATTCTGTCTCTGGCTCTCTCTGCCCCTCCCGTGCTTATGCTCCGTCTTTCTGTCTCTAAAATAAATAAACACTAAAAAAATTTGTATTTAAATTAACGTCAACCTCCTGATGCAACCAGCCCGAAACTCTCAAGCTCCATTTGTTTCGCACGTCTTGTCTGGTGTTCATGAATACAGCGGGTTTTAAAAATCACTTTGAAGGGGACTTGGTGCTTTCTTCTATTTATTATGGTCTGGACCTCAACTCCTTCAAAACTGCACCTGAAAGTTTCACATATTTGACGTCCCTCTAAAAAACCTCAACTAACAAACCAAACCTCAAGTTCTTAAGTGATTGTTGTTGAAATGAATTGAGCTTATAAATACGAACCATAAAATACTTCAGGCATCACAAGGTTGATAAATTACGAAAATTCCCATTGTATTCAACTGTATACTTCAGGGGCGCCTCGGTGGCTCAGTTGGTTAAGTGTCCAACTTCGGCTCAGGTCACGATCTCATGGTTCGTGGGTTCGAAGCCCCGCGTCAGGCTCTGTGCTGACAGCTCAGAGCCTGGAGCCTGCTTTGGATTCTGTGTCTCCTTCTCTCTTTGCCTCTCCCCTCCTTGTGCTCTCTCAGAAAAATATTTTAAAAAATTGTATACTTCAATTTAGTCTTTTGTGTTTTTTAATTAATTAATTATTTATTACTATTATTTTAACGTTTATTTATTTTCAAGAGAGACAGAAAGCAGAGTGTGAGTGGGGGCGGGGAGGGGCAGAGAGAGACAGAGAGAGGGAGACACAGAATCCGAACCTGGCTCCAGGCTCTGAGCTGTCAGCACAGAGCCTGACATGGGGCTCGAACTCACAAACTGCGTGTTCACTCAGTTTTTTAAAAATGAAAGACCCACAAAACAAAACAGACCAACTTGCCCCAAGAAACTTCCCCCAAGGGACCCAGTCCCACCTCCCCCATCACAGACAAGCCACCTCGCTACTCCTCTGACACCCGACCCGGCTGGGGTCAAGTCTGGGTCTGTTGAAAACGAATGTCTGTGTGTGTAGGACACAAAGTCCAGGAGGACAGGGGGCTCGCTGCTTTGCGAACACCCGGCCCCCGGCCCAGCGCCTGGTGCACAGCGGGGCACCATACCCATTGCGGCAATGGCCAGATTCGGACAAGTTCAGCCAGCGGAAGGGCAGAAAAGGGCATGCCTGCTCTGAGGCATGGCGCGGGAGGAGGGCGCGCTCCTGACCTGGCATGATGGTCTCCTTGCATTCCTGGCACTTGGACGAGTACTGGTAGGAGTAGCAGTCCATGCAGAGCAGCTGGTCCTCCTTGGCAGCGAAGGGCTTGTCCACCAGTGAGCTCTTGCACCGCGAGCAGTGGAAACAGGCCTCGTGCCAGTGTCGGTCCTTGTAGGACAAGTCCTGCAGACCCAGAGCATGAGACAGTGAGAGGGCCGGAGCGGCCACGGCTGCTCTGCCTGACCCACGGCACGGGGCAGTCATGCAAATCCTGGGGGCAGACGGGGGCTGAAGCCTGTGGGCGTTCCTGGATCGTGACCCTGCTGGTGAAATGAGGAAGGCTGGGCTTTCAGAGCGACTATTTAGATATGTGTGTGTGTGTGTGTGTGTGTGTGTGTGTGTGTGAAAGAGATGCTTCCCCAAAACAAATGGATTCCCCCTCAGTATTGTCTGTAAGAAAGTGAAACACAAAACATACGACTCATCACTGCTTCTCACTGACAACTGGTGAGAGAAACAGAGCGCAGCCCTCAGCTCTGAGGGAGCCCAGCAAAACCAAGTGTGACAGCAGGGTCACTGGGACACCTGGCTGGACAGAGAAGCCTGGATGTAGGGAACTTAAGAAAGACAGCCACGAGGACAGGGCTCTGGTGTCACTTGGTGGGAAGCAGGTTGGGAGAGAGTTCTGGAACAGGTGGCACGGGCTGAGTGTGGACGACTCACGGACAGCAGGGAGGTGGGCACAGGGGGTCGGAGAAGGACTTCTGGGAAGAGACAGAGCATGAGCACAGCTGAGGTGTGAGTGAGAGGGGTCCTTGGCTGGAGGGACAGCCCAGGGCACCAGGCAGGAAGGTTCAAATCCAGGTCGGGACAGGAGGGCCCTTTAATGTCTGCACGGAAGTTAAGATTACCCTGAAGGCAGTGGAGGGGGCATGAGCTGTTTAAACAGGGGCGTGAAAGGCTAAGACGATGTGGGACATGTGGTGGGGGACGTACAGGGGGACAGGAAGGAGACCTCACAGAAGGCACCGCAGAGAATCAGGCCAGCTGAGGCTGTGCACAAGAGTGGGGCACACAGTCGGGAACAGATGGCACGGGTTATTAAGAAAGCAGAATCCACGCTTTCTAGCAAAGGCTGAAAAGGAGAAATGAGTCCAGGAGAGAACATCGTGTGGTCTCTGTGCTGCTCCTGACCTCACCTGAGGAATCCTAAGTAATCTCATACTCTTTTTTTTTAAGCTTGTATTCATTTATTTGAGAGAGACAAAGACAGCATGCATTGGGGAGGGGCAGAGAGAGGGAGAGAGAGAATCCCAAGCAGGTTCTGAGCTGTCAGCACAGAGCCCGACGCGGGGCTCGAACGCATGAAAGCGAGATCACGACCTGAGCCAAAGTCGGATGCTCAACCGACTGAGCCACCCAGACGCTGAGAGTTGGGAGGTTTTAGATCATGCTATCATTGTGATAATGCTACAGAATACATGCATTTAACTTTTTTTGTTGTCATTATGGAAAACAGTGTTGGCATAAAGAATTGAAAGCAGGAACTTGTAGACATGGGTACATCCAAAGCAGCATTGTCCACAGTCACCCAAAAGGTGGGAGAAACCCAAGTGTCCATCAACAGATCAACGGCTAAGAAGAATGTGGTACGTGCATACGATGGAATATTATCCAGCCTCAAAAAGGAAGGAGACTTTGACACAAGCTATCACGTGGAGGACCCCTGAGGACATTACGCTCAGCGAAATAAGCCAGGCGCGAAAGGACAAGTCCTGTACGTCTCCACTGAGACGAGGTACCTAGGGGTCAAATGCGCAGAACAGAAAGTAGAGCGGTGGCTGCCAGGGGCTGGGGGAGGAGGGACGGGGAGTTAGTGTTTCACGGGGACAGAGTTTCGGTTTTGCAGGATGAAGAGTCCCAGAGGCTGGCTGCACAGCAACGTGAAGCCTCGTGGCACTTACTGAACTGCATGCTTCAACAGGGCGAAGCTGGCGTATTTTATGCTAGGTGTATTTTACCACAGTTAGAGCGATCGGTTTGGACTATTCCGTAGCAGGTGGGAAAGCCTTTTCAGATGTTAGGTGGGTGCCCCCTGTGCAGGCCAGTCACCTCAGAAAGGACTGCCATCGTGGGAAAGCTGGAAGCGTTTTCCGTGCTCCGTGAATCGCCCACCGCCTGGCTGAGAAGAGAAGCCCTGGGGAGGTCTCGAGGGCAGAAGGGAGGCCATCCCAGGCCTGCTTCCCGGAAGGTGGCCCAGTGGGGCTGGGGGCTGCCCTGCCCAGGGCATCCACGGCACACACACAGCGCCTACACAGCTCATTAGTGCAATGAAAAGGAAAGGAAACATGGGTTCAAGGAAACTTGCCTTTGGGGACCAATCTTCAAACACACTGAGGGAGGGACCTCTATGGGCGACACTGCGAGAGCAAAGCCACCAGATGTCACCACGGTCCCCAGACCGCTTAGCGAGTACCCAGATGGGAGGAAAGAGCAGCGGAGTGGTCAACGTGCACGGACAGTCGTGGGAAAAACTGCTTTAAATGTGCTTGGGGCTCCGAAGCACCGCAGAAGCCCAATTTTTCTACGGTTAACCTGAAAACACACGTGCAACATGATAGCTACGCGTTGGCAGATGTTAGGCACTAGAAAGTGTTCCTCCACATTTGGGGTACCGTCCACGTGACTTTAGCAGACCTTACGCATCAGTGCAAGACTTCCTGACCTTCCAAAGCCCAGCTCCCAACCTTTCACACCTCTGCACCCTGGCCCTTGCCACGCCTTGCCTCACAAGGCCCTGCCCCTCCTCTCCAACTGGGAGAACCCTGTTCCCTATAAAGCCCAGCTCACACGCCACCTGCTCTGAGCTGCCCCGGCCCAAGGCAAGCCATGCGCCACCCCAGCTAACATGCCTGTGTCGACATCTTCTTCAAACTCCTGCATGGAAACCCTTATCTAAGTCATTAGGCTATCAGGTTTCCCTGTAATTCTCTTTCCTGGGCTCTTGGCTTGTGTTCTCTTTGGAAGTCTGAGTTAAGCTAATAAATTCATGTCACAGCTTCCTCTTGGACTCACTTCTTAAGAAAGCCCACAACACATAGGAAGCGAGGAAAGATTTTATGGCAAGAGGAAGGTAACTGAACACTGCCAGCTTTGCCTTCCGAGGGCACGGTGAGGCTTCTGGCCGAGACATTTCTCCTCTCGGTGTGGGGTAGGCGTTTAGGCACAGGAGTCCCTGGAGCTGAGAGCTGGGCCAGAAAATACCACCAGAAGTACAAGAGGCTATTATAATGGGCCACAACCCCGTGCCTGGACCTGAGCTTCATGTCATGTTCTAAATCCTTCTCTCAAAGCTTTGGTACCTGGAGGCCCTTCTCATTTCTTGCGTTCACAGCTCCAAACAGATGATGAGTTTTCATTCTTAGGACTGAGCTAGTCCATCTAGCTTAATTCTGCTATGTATCAAGTACACCACGTGGTCCCCAAAGGACACCGTTTAGATGCTGGAGGCACAAGGTTAAGAAGTATAGACTCACTGACTGACGTTCAAGAAGCTCAAAATGTCCTAGAAATATGCTGGTTTTAAAGTCCTCTAGAGAGAGAGAAGGACAAGGAAAGAAAGACCGGAAGAAAGAAAGAAAGAGTCTTTTACACGTCCCAGGAAAAATACCATGGCTAACCTTGTGCTCACAGAAATGTCATCAATCGCAGTAATGTGTTGATAAACAATGTGAGATTAGGACCCAACACTTCCTTTCAGATTTTATATTTTTCCATCTCAGAAACATTCCCGATATGGGAAGTGCTTCTCGTGTGACGCCGAACGTGCCTTGTTGAGATGCCAGCTGAGCCGGGGGGACGACCAGGTGGCCAAGAGGGGCCCTCGTCCCCTCGGCTGACTGGAGGTGACCCTGGGCAGCAGGGGCTGGCGCCACCCCTCCACCACGTTCCACCTGTGCCGGGACTGGTTCAGATGAAGATCTCCCAAAGCCACCACTCCTCAAATCCACCAGATTTCATGTGGTAAGTGGGTGCTCACAACCCTTCACACTCCGCACTTTGAAAAGGCGTTCTATGCTTTGAGACTGTCGGGGCATCCTGTTTCCAACTGGATGTTCCTTCCAATACTTAAGAACAAAAGTCCTGAAGAACGGATGATGGCAGAAAGGACAGCACTCGATCTACGTGGTCCTATATCAGGTGTCCCAACCATGGTAACTAAATTCCCGTGACAGTCGCCAGGCCGGCAGCCCCATCTTCAGACATGGAAACAGAGCCCTGTAGGCGGCATAACTTACCCACGTCTCAGCAAGTCTGGCTCGAGACCCATCCCGGTGGGGGCCGACTCACTGCCAAATGTCCTGTGCCTTTGGTGGCGTGCCTTGCAGGTGCCCCTTTGGTTTTCCAGGGCCCCGTGTTACCCACATGGCTAGCCTCATTCCCACGTCTAGTGATCCTGCGTAGTGAGTGGATCGGCACTCACTTCCCCCTAGAGACACAGTTTTCTCTTACAGGAGGATGTCTAAACAAATAGACATATTTTCAGTGCCCATTACAAACCCTGTGAACAAATTACATGGACACTCTAAAAAGATGATTCACTCACTAAGCACTTAAAAGTCACCTCAACAAATAAAAAATAGTGCCGGGTGGGGGAGTTGGACTGTGAGGACGTGTCTGGAACGTGTCTGGAATAGTAGCCTTTCCCATGACGGCCCAGAAAGGTGGGCAGGAGAGGCCTGCGTCCTGCTCCAGGGCAGGACAGGTGTTTCCACTGTAATCTCAGGCCTCCCACACCAGCCAGGGTCAGGAGCCTTCTAAAAGTATACCAGAGACATCTAGATCTCACTGGAGGGGTAAGAGCCTCTGTCTCCCCCTTCAGTCCCCTGACTGCTTTCTATCAAAGGATCCCAGTGATTTTCTGTTCCTTAAGAATTTTCTAGATGTTTGCTGAGAAACTTACAGTTTGGTGGGTGGACCTGGGCCTGATTATCAGTTTGATGTTTCCCACCTAATTACTAGGAAGCTTAAAGTGTGCTCTAGAAACACACCGAGCCAGGCATACGGCCCGGAGTTTGTTCGCTGCTTTGTTAAGTGCACGGTACTAGCAGCCATCTCTGAAGTCAGGGGCCCTGCCTACGTTGTCCTTCGTTTCTTGAGTTTTTGAAGCCCAGAGCATAAGTGGACCCGTCCAAAACTATCTGTAATCAGGCTAATACATTTTTTGCTAGTAACCACAGATGTCCAAGAAAAATTTCAGGAACAGGGTCATTTAGAGGATCACGACATTTTATTTGCATTGCCTGTTCTCAACTATTCCACTGGTCGTGAAGTGAATGGTTTTTACCCTTTGCGAGCACATCTCCTCGGAGTAACTAAGCAGAAATAACAAGTACAACTGAGTAACCACGCCAAAGTGTTTTCACACGTATGTGAGCTGACTATGAAACCTGGCGCTGTGGTCTCATCTATGTCATATAAAAGTCACTCAGTACCCACAAAATGAGCCTAAGTCCCATTGGTGTGCCAACATCTGAAATCTGTACCCCCACGCATGTCCTACAAAGGAGGTAGGCGGGGCTCGTGGTGCCCCTGCTCTTTTAAGAAAACAGAATGGTCACCAGGTCTGTCGGCTCAATTGCTCGATCAAGGCTGCCAAGATTTTTGGCTTTACTCCCTCAAATAACAGGAATGTTTTTCCTATCATTGCTTCCTCCACAAAGTCAACTACATAATTCCTTCTGAAAGTCAAGCAAACCATTCCAAATATTCAGGAGCCCCAAACGGCCAAGGCAAACTTCGGGAAAGAATCTCTTTTTCTTCCAAAATGTAGAAAAACCACATGGCTCAACTCCACGTGTAGTAAACCATGAATCTGGGTTGAAAAGTTCAGCGTGATTAACTCCTGGCTTTGCAGCAGTCCTGTTGATTTTGGCCCCATGTGGGGGATTCTTGTTTATTTGCTCATCAAGTATGTGCCGAAGGGTAGCCAGTTGGAAGGGTCTTTCCATTCAATCGTATTGGAAAAAAATGGGAAGCGCCCTTAGTTTCTCCTTTAGCCGCCAGTCAAGGGTGACCAGTCCCAAACATCCAAAACATTTCCTCTAAACTACGGTTGTTCTTTGTCAGAAGAATGGCTGAACCTCTCACCTACTGAAGCATTTTTATTTTTATTTATTTAAAACAAAAATTTTTTTTTTAACGTTTACTTATTTTTGAGACAGAGAGAGACAGAGCATGAACGGGGGGAGGTCAGAGAGAGAGAGAGGGAGACACAGAATCTGAAACAGGCTCCAGGCTCTGAGCTGTCAGCACAGAGCCCGACGCGGGGCTCGAACTCACGGACCGTGTGATCATGACCTGAGCCGAAGTTGGACGCTCAACCGACCAAGCCACCCAAGCACCCCCCCAGGTTACATTTTTATAGGAGAATCATTTTTGTCTTCTGCTTCTCGGTTCTTCCTCAGACCAGACATTTTTAGTGATGTTTCTATAATGGAGATGGAGCAAGAGAGAGAGAGCGCGAAGCTTCCAAGGGTGGCGTGGAAGAAACGTGTTGCAGAAAGAATAGGGAAGTAGTCAGATGGAGTTTATAAGACCATCAGCTGCTCTTTGGAGTGCTGAGGCTTCGTATCCACAGACCGCAGTAACCCCATGAAACTGGCACCTGTTTCATCGGCAATTCATAAAGGGCAAGACGGGCACAGAGGGGGCAAGTAATCAGCCCAAGCTCACACAGCTAGCGAGCCACAGAGTGAGGACGGGGACAGGGCCGTTTGGTGTCTGAGCTTTGATGCTTGGCCCAGTAAATAGAGGAACAGGGACTAAGAGCCCTCTAAGAACCCACTAGGGACCTACATCAGTCGACATTAGAGACAGGACGGTGTCTAGCCTTTGGGACTAGCAAGATCAGCCACTTTTCTCTGCTCACAGCAGCCCCGCCTCTCTGCACGTTCGGAAGTTTACACAGGACTACTGCTGAGTTTGGTTTCTTTCACTCTTGGCAGGCCTTGCCTGTTCTGTAGCCAAAAGATACATGGCTGTGGCCTGGTTTCAGGTGGCCCGGGCTGCCCACTGGGCCCGCTCGGGGCGAAGGCTTCGCTCCATACACGATGGAAGTTATTCCCCAACTGTCACCAAATAGCCAGCAACAGAAAGTGACGGTGCAGCGCTCTGCTTCCTGCCTTTCCTAGGAATGATGTAATCAAGGGAAGAAATGTAAGGAACAAGGGCACCTGGGGGGGCTCTGTTAAGCAGCCGACTCTCGATTTCGGCTCAGGTCACGATCTCGCGGTTCGTGGTTTCGAGCCCCGCGTCAAACCCCGCACCGGGCTCCGTGCTGATGGTGTGCAGCCTGCTTGGGATTCTCTCTCCCCCTCTCTTTCTGTCCCTCCCCACTCGTGCTCACGTGCTCTCTCTTTCTCAAAATAAAGAAATAAAAACTTAAAACAAAAGAAACATATGAAACACGGACTGTGTTAGAACCGTCCAGCTGCAGACACAGCCTAACCTAATGAGGCAGCAGCTACGTATCGATATTCATGACCACGGAGGAGAGTGTCAAATTCCCTAAAGCGTATAAGGGAAGAGAGCAGAATAGAGACACCAAAATGCCATGAATTGCTTTAAAGTCCATGAAGCTGGGAATTCCTTTGGAGCTGCCCCAAGGGACCCCATTTTGTACCAATTCTGTGACTCTCAGGATGTCAGTCACTTAAAGTCTTGTCAAGTGCGTTTTGGCCACCGTTTAGCAGGTGAAGATATCAGAGGTCTTAGAGACACGGGTGGACCTCCAGGGGCGTTTCTGGGTGGTCCAGGTTGGACTAAAGATACGCTGAGAAGCACGGGCTAGGGTTCTGGACACTCAATCCCACGCAATCAGCACAAATGACCGGTAACCTCTGTTGAACCTGCTTTCCCATCCACAGTGGGAAAGCTGGTAATTCCTTAGGTGTGAGCTTTTTCCCTGGAGAAAGAAGCGGTACAAATCCTGCTCTTCTCCCACTAGGAAGAAAAGAGCCCCTAATGGTCCAATGAATGTAGTGCTTTATGTGCCCATTTATCTGGGAATCAGCTCCAATTCACTCATGTGCACATGCATTCATCAAATATTTACTGAGCAGCACCGACTGCTTCTGAGTCAGCATGGGACAAACATGAGTAAGAGAGCGCTGCCTTCCAGACAGTGACAGTGCTGGGAGGTGGGGGGAGGGGGGTGGTTAGATCAGGACACCACCAGCCAGAATGCAAGAGGTGTGCTCAGGAGCCTCAGCATAAATGTCCCGGAAACGCACCAACCAGTGTTATGGAATTAGGAGTGGGCACAGACCAGCCAGAGGGAGGAGGCTCGGAGAGGCTTCTTGGAGGGGACAAGCCTATCAGAGGGGGCTCAAGAGACGGAATTTCAATTGGCCCCATGGGTCCGGGCTCCAGCACAAACCACACAGAGAGGCCCGTGGTTTCAGGGGAACATAGAGGGATCCAGGAGTGCTCGGCGCTGCCCGGGGCAGGGGGAGCAGAGGTACCTTGCAGTCACAGCCGATGGGCTTCCCACACTCCTCGCAAGTGCTGGCATACAGAGCCTCAAAGCACCCAATGCAGTAGGGGCTCTCCTCCCTCAGGATGTACTTCTTGCCAAAGAGAGATTCTTCACAGTGGTGGCAGTCAAAGCGCTCCGTCATCATGACGCCCGGCTTTTCAACGACCTATCAGAAAGAGAAAATACAGGTTCCTGTGAGCCCACTCCCGATGCCTTCCCGCTGTCATCTTTAGCCAAGGGATGGGATCCCCTCCGGGCAAAGAACTGGAACTCACCCTTTCAAAGGTTGGAATTTTCGGTAATACTTAAAAAAAAAATTAGTTTGGGGGCCATTTTGTTGCCTGAACGCATTTCACTGCCTTAAACGTCCCCTCTCTCGTTGACTGTGTCACAAAAAGCTTTGTCAATTTTGGACACAGAGCTCTCATCCGGGCAGGGCTGGGTCTATGCTTCAAACGTGTGACGCAGCCTCACATCTTCCCTTTCTCCCTGCCCCCAAAATAGAAAGGCTGAGATAGAAACAATATGTTCATTTCTATAAAAAGATTTTCCATGAGCTCCCCTTTATCATGCATAAACTTGAAGAGTAAGAAACCAGTGCCCAGAGGGAGGGGCCTCAGGAGTTGGTAAACCTGAGAGGCCAAAAGAGCATTACCCTTGACCTTGAAAAGACATTGGGAAGCAAAACCTGCCCTTGCACTAGAGAAACTGCCATACGTCCCTGGGGACGAGTCACTTCTTCCCTATGAAAAGATAACCCTTCCGAGGCCCAGGTAATCCAGACAGCAGGATAAAGGGGAAGGCCAGCTTCCAAGAACAGAGATTATCACACAGTGGGAAATGCAGTGACTGCGGTCAATGGCTTTCCAGGCAACACCTCGCGCCTTTCAGAGAGGAACAAGAATGCATCTGTGTGCCAGTCACTCTGCATTTTTTCCAGGGTGAGCATAGAGTGTGCACAGGCAGAAGGGGACGAGGAGGGGAGGAGGACGGCAGGACGAGCTTCTCAGCTCACCTCATGTGCTGTTCCCCTACAAACATGTTACAGCTGCCCCCCAAAACAAGCCACTACGGGTGTACTTGGGACGAGACGTGCCTCTGGGGCGTTAACAACACAGACTCGGTCTTCTTCAGTATTTTCTCAAGTGGCAATATGTAATTTGCTCAGTGTGCACAGTTTTACAAATTGTTAAACAGGTAGACTGACGACTGTAACTCTGAGCCATGTTTCGCGAACTCTAATTACACTGGGATCGATGTCCAGGGCTTTCAAACCATCTTAAGACTGAAACTCGGGAATAATAGCCTGTGGTGCAAAAAAAATATCGCTGCCTGGTTTATGATCACGGCAAATTTGATAGCGTTTATTAATTTTGTGCTCTTGTATGTCCAAGGTCCTGACAACAATAAGCAAAGAACTAAACCTCCTTCAAGCACCCGTACTTGGTTATTTCTGTGTTTATAGAACAATGTTTTTCCAAGAGCGTTAAACGTGCAGCTGGACACATGTGGCAGGATTCAACCTTCTAAACGGCTCTTCCCGGAGTTAAAGAAAACATTGTCTGGATATTCTTGTGATAACATTACAATACGAAGCTCTTGTGCACTTGAATTATTCTTCTGAAACCCAATGTATAAATATCCTTTGTGCTCAGGCCATCTCGGGTTGCGGCAGCTATGTTGGCTGAAGATTCAATGCTTTCCTGTAATTCCTTAGTTATTGGCTCTTGAAAGTGGCAATTGTTTATATCATCATAATTGGGAGCTGTGTTTCCAACATTTATATTTTTCTAATAAACATCGCCGTGTACCTGCGGAACCAGAGGCGGCCTACCTATTCTTCTCACAAAAATGTAAGAGTAAGGATTTGAGGGCTTGAAAGAAGAATAATGAAAGGAGACAGAACGATAAACTGTACAATTTTAAAAGGTGGAAACACATCTCGAGAGGATCTACAACAACGGCCTCATTTTACGGATGGAGGAAACCAGGGCCCAGGAATATTAATGAGAAAAGAGGATTCACATGAGCTTTCCCCAAAAGTTAGAAAGTTAGAGAAAAGCCATCTAAGTTAGAAAACAACAAACTCCCAGTCTAAATCAAAAAGTGGTTCCACGGGGGTTCGGACAAAGCACAGATGGTGCGAGGGAAAGGATGCAGACAGCACCAGCCGCTTCTCCAGAGACCCTTCCTATGTTCTCGAGCCAGTGAAGGGGGTGAATTTCCTTCAAGGTAATGATCATGACGCTGTTCGGGTACCTGCCACATGTGCTTTCTACCTCCTCCAGTTCCACGGGCCCGGGACAGAAATCATCTATGGGAGTAAACTCTAAGAACTGGTAGGGCTCCCCATCTGCTCAAAGTATGACGGAGGCTCTCCAGAGACAGATGTCATTGGCACTGACACCTACTCCCAGCAGGACTAGAGTAGTAGCGACCACCTGCTCAGAGGGTCCAAATGGGATTCTCATGATGGTGGATCTCTCTCCCACCTTGTTCCTTATCTTCCCTCAGAAGTCACTGCAATTTTAAGGATCAGGAGAGCACTTCTGTCAAACCAATGGGTTTAGGTGTGAAATGAGCACCCATTACTGTTGAGGAGCAGAGAAAGGGTACACTTGATCTGAGATGGTCCTCTTGAGGGTTCCCAGAGAATTATGTGAAGCACAGACCCTGAGAGTCAAAGTAAGTTGCTCATAAGCTAATGAGAAAACAGAGACCTTCCCTGCTTTTTTTTATTTTATTATTATCTTTTTAAATTTTGAATACGGAAAGAGAGAGAAAGCAAGTGGGGGAGAGGGGCAGAGAGAGAGAGAGAGAGAGAGAGAGAGAGAGAGAGAGAGAGAATCTCAAGCAAGCTTCACATTCAGTGCAGAGCCTGACATGGGGCTTGATCCCATGACCTTGGGATCATGACGAAATCAAGAGTCAGACGCTCAACCAACTGAGCCACCCAGGCGCCCCCAAAGAGCTTCTCTTCTATCAGAGTATTTAATACCGATTTTCCCTTAATTAACTGCTACCAGATAGAATATTCTTTTTCCTTTCCTTTCCTCTCCTTTCCATCCTTCCTTTCTATGGCGTGGACGAGTGGGAGAGGGGCAGAGAGCGAGGGAGAGAGAATCCCATGCAGACTCCGTGCTGTCAGAGCAGAGCCTGATTCGGGGCTCAAACTGACAAACGGTGAAATCATGCATGACCTGAGCCGATATCAAGAATCAGATGCTCAACTGACTGAGCCACTCAGGAGCCCCGTACAACATTCTTTTTTAAAAAGTGTGTATTTAAAGTTACACTATCAATCTTAAGCTTCTTTTTAATGAAAAAAAAAAAAAAAAAACCACAAAAACCATATATCTATCGTCCTGCATTAGAAGGTTCCCGTAACTTTGTATTTTTAAATCTATAGAACACCTGATTATTCATTCCAGAGGCGTCAGTGGAGCTGGAACTGTGTGTCAGAGGTTGTGGAAAGTGCTGGAGATACAAAGATGAATACGATACAGGCCCTCCCTGAAAGAACACGTAGTCTAGTGTGGAAAACAGATACACAGGTGATCCCTGAAAAATGCGGGGGTTGGGGCACCAACCCCTGAGCAGTCAAAAATCCACGTGTAACTTTTGATGTCCCCCCAAACCTAACTACTAATAGCCCACTGTTCACTAGAAGCCGTGCCAATAACACACAGTTGCTTCACATGTATTTTGTATATTATATGCATTAAATACCGTGTTCCTACAATGAAATAGGCTAGAGAAAAGAAAACGTCACTTAGAAAATCGTAAGGAAAAGCAAATACGTTTACTGTGATGTACTGCGTTTACTGGGACAAAAAAAATCGGTGTACAAGTGGACCCGTGCAGTTCAAACCCCTATTGTTTAAGAGTCAACTGTGCATCAGATGATAAAGCTCCATGCTCAGGGCAGTGATGGAGAGACACAATGAGGGTCCTCTGGGAGGGCAGGAGAGGCTTCCCAGACATGTCTCTCTCCTTGTGCTGGAGAAGGATAAGCCAGATGATGACTGCAGGCCAGAGGGCGGAGGGCAGAGGGGTGATAAGGAGCAGGGTAGGGTATTTGTAGAGGAAGCTGTAAAGGTAGTCAAAGTTCAAAGACAGGAGGGCCTCTACTCTTGACTGTGAACTTGGCTTTGCCCTGTAGGCAATGGGTAATAGGAGGCCCAGCTGAGAGTTCACCGCGTAAAGGCCCGACTTTGCCAAGGGGGTTGAGGAAGACGAAACTGAGGGGCAGTGACTCCTTAGAAAGTTTCCAGGGTGTCGGGGTCTCCTTCCGAGTCATTTCTTTAAATAAAAATAGGACACCCCGGTTCTGTAAGGATTTTTTTTTTCCCCAACCTCCTCATGTACCATGGCTTCCCCCCTCTGAACCTGCGCGTCCCCCTGACGGGTTAGACTGGGTTCCCGGCCATTACCTGGGACACAGAAGTGCTGAAAGGTGAGCGGCAGGGTACAAGGACGTACCTGAACACAGGGCGTGGCTGCTGACTTGCTGTTACATTGAACCTGGAGTTCTCATCCCTTCCCAGGGGGAAGCCGTTCTCTGAGGTCATTCCCCCTCCAGCTCAGAACGAGCCGGGCATTTGAAAAAGCTGGCTGGCAGGGTACAGGCGTGGCTCCAGGCCCAGCTAACTGCACTGGGCGAGGCGAGCCCCGGGCACCGGGTTTTCAGTGTCTCCCCCGAGGGCCAGCTTTCGGGCAGGTATAAAATGAAAGGCTCCGAGTGCACTGGAGCCGTGATGCACAGTCCATAGGCTTAGGGGGTCCTGGTGGTTTGGTCGCTTAAGCGTCTGACCCGATTTTGGCCCAGGTCATGATCTCACAGTTCGTGAGTTCGAGCTCCACATCGGGCTCCTCAATGACAGCGTGAGGCCTGCTTGGGATCTTCTCTCTCCCTCTCTCTTTGCCCCTCCCCCGCTTGCGCTCATGCTCTCTCTCTCTCTCTCAAAATAAATAAATGAACTTAAAGAAAAGTCCACAGGCTTATATAGGTGGGTTATTTTTATCTTTGCAGATTTATTTAATTTTATTTATTTAATTAAAAAAATTTTTTTAATGTTTATTTTTGACAGAGAGAGAGAGAGAGAGACAGGGCATGAGTGGGGGAGGGGCAGAGAGAGCCAGAGACAGAATCTG